GAAGAGTTGGCTAGTTCTCAGGTAAAAAACTGGAATGGCTGCAACTAACAGACATCATTGATATCACCAGCTTAGGAAGGGCCTTAGACTGATTAGCAGTCATTCCAAATTCCAAGCACCAAATTGCGTATTCAGATTAAGAAGTAATTAAGAAAATAACAGATTTTTTTGTTTTTTCATTTTTCCCTGCCACATGACACAGCCGTTTTGCTACTTCAATTATATCTAAATAGCAGAGCAAACATTTATTTAGAAGAGAATATATGCATTTGCTAGAGATGATTTTAGGTAAGTGAATTGGAGCAATTTCTATGCAACAAGGAAGGACATCAAGTTTGGTAAAGTCAGCGAAAACCAGGACGACCCCCAATGAGACAGACTGACTCAGTGACTGCAGTAATGGGCATGAATAGTGTGGCGACTGTGTGGATGGCACAGGACCAGATAGCGTTCTGTTCTGTTGTACCTGGGGTTACTATGAGTCAGAGCCAAAAACAAACAGTATGCCAGTTTGCAATGCAAATCTTCAAAAGAAACCATTTTCAGTCAAGACAAGCTTTGGTGGAATTCACCTCCATGGTTCGATTCTCAACCAAAGAAGAGACAGGGGACCAATAACACGAATGGGTTACTCAGACCTCACAACAATCTGCCACATGAGATCAAAAGGGCGGCATTTACTCCAGCACAAAGTTCAGAAAGGTTAGAAGAGAAGACGGAATAGAAACAGGAAACACAAGGAGGAAGTGGGATAAGTGAGGTTACAATGTGGACGGACTATTGAATGGAAAACTGATGATCTGTTCTGAAACCTTCACCCAATTCCCAGTGAAAAGCAAAAAAGCAAGAAAAAAAAAAAGTTTTGGTAGAAGGGTGCTCAGGGCTGTAATGAATATAAAATTTGAAAGCTTTTTCTTTATTTTTAAAAGCGTTCCTAAAATCCTCTGAAAAGTAATGTAATGCTTGTATCAGTGACAGAAATCTGGAAACATTCTAATAATCTTTCTGTATTTCTGAGAATGAAATCTTAGATTACAGTTTTGAAATCGAGCTCTTTGAGTTCACTAATGTCATCGTTGCTCAGTTTTGAGTTGTTGAAAACAGAGAGGTACCATAGTTTCTGGGACTCCTGGCCACTAACTGCAGCTCTGTGAACAGACTTGAAGGTTGTGTGCAGAGACAAAAGGCTGAAGCCATCAGAGCATGTGGTGACAGGCAAGCTGGTGGGCAGAGAGGGAGCTTAGGAACCCCCCCCAAGAACTCACTCTGCATTCAAGCTTTCCTACCAAGGAGCAGTGTGGCTAGAGATTGTTGTTGTTGTTGTTGTTGTTAAGTGCCGTTGAGTCGGTTCTGACCCATAGCGACCCTGTACAGGGTTTCCAAGGGCGTAAATCTTTACGGGAGTAGAAAGCCTCATCTTTCTCCCGCGGAGTTGCTGGTAGTTTCGAACCGCTGACCTTAAGGTTCACAGCCCGATTCGTAACCACTACGCTACTAGAGATACTTCACACAAAATAAGTGTGCCCAAGAGCTTTGCCTTCCTATTGAACTGTGCACACATCAGGGGAAGACCTCTATTCTGACCTTCTTCTCAAAGGTATGCACAGGGCTAACTGAAGTCAAAGGCACATTAAATGGGTACCTTTGAGCTCCTGAATGTTGTTCAGCAATCCACCTCAGGCCCGTGAATATACCTTATCTGTACCTACTTAGAATGGCCCAACAAAGTCATGCAGTTTTGTCAAGTCTCTTTACTGTCTTTAATTGCCATTAAAATAATCAACTACATGAAGTAATCCAACTCAACAGAGAAAATCCAAGCTCTTAGGCTCTGGCTTTTGTTTTGGTTACCATCACTCCTTTCCAAAGAGCAGCAGATGCTCAGTGAGAAAGCTGAGAATGCAGCAGGGGATAGGAAAGAAAGATGAATGGAAGTGGAAAACCCCAGCGAGGAAGTCGGGAGAGTGCTGTTACATTGTGGGGAACTGCAGTCAATATCATGCAACAAAATGTTTATGAATTGCTGAATGGAAAACCAATTTGCTCTGAAAACTTTCAACCAATTCAGAATGAAGAGTTCAGGAAATTAAATTAAATAAACATTTCTGAACCACAACCCAAACTAGTTGAGACAGAAATATCTCTAAATAAAATGATTAACCTTGTTTTCAAAGAGCTTCAGATACAACACATGATAATCCTGAGACATAATAACAATCTGTAATCTGGACATACATGGACCTTTTAGGGACTTGATAGGCATGCCATAACTGTATGATAACACAACACCCTAGCCCAGCACAGCACAATATAACATGTTCAAGCTCATGCCTGACCCTCTGTTGGAGATTTAGAGGACCAGAGTGAGTCCGGTTCTAGAATTCTAATACAGCTCAGATCCAGAGAGGCTGAGGGAAAACAAAACAAAACAACCTGGGTCTTCTTTCTTCCGGAAGTTAGTATGACTTAAAGTCAAAGTATTGGATTTAATGACTAAAATGTCCAACAGATTACATTTGAATTCTAACTAGTGTTTGCATGTGGACTTGTTGGCTAAGTTTTCGTAAGGTTATCCTTTCAAATAAAAGTGTCTCCTCCCTGTCATGATTGGATTCCTAGATCAGAGTCATGGATCAGATTCAAACCCAGGCTCCTATCTCTTTGCCAGTCAGGGTTCCAGCTGCAGGGGACTAAGTGTCAGCCCATGACTAACTATATGATAAACAACAACAACAACAACAACAAAAATACCCCACGTCAACAGAGTGCACTGGGTAAGGAGAGACCCAGATCTCAAAAAGGCCAGTTATACTGCTGCAACCAGCCCCAGAGAGAATAACAAATTGTCAAGAGCAAAGTGGGGCCCGGACCAGTATTTTCAGACCCAGTACCCATGCGCAAGTTCCAAACAATCCAGGCTCAAATGTAAGACCTGTGTTTCCTCAAACAAGAAAAACAGGCTAAGTTGAAGGTAACTCAAAAGTACCCCAGTAATTACAGGATTCTCTTTTCTAAGACTCTAATTTTTCTTTCCTGCAGTGATTGGTGGAAGCAGGAGGCAAGCATTAACCAGCTTTGGGCGCAGGCTCCTGGGGCCTTAAATCTGATGTATACTCCGAATGCTCTCAGTCACCCTCTAAGAAAATATGGAAGCCTGATAGTAATGGCTGAGCTGATAATAATTTGGAAGCTAAAACTAGAAAAAACGATGACAACTCTTTGTAAAATCTATCACCTGTCCTGAGAAGGGAGCTCATTCCAGGTGAAGTCTGGCACACCTGGAGTTTAGAAACATGGAGTTTAGACCAAGCAGCCAAGAAGAGAGCAGCTCATTCATAAAACGGAGCTCAGTGTCCTCTCCTTTTATGCAAGCTTCCTCAAGAGAATTTTAGTCCTATTGAAGTCACTGGGAAGCACTGTGTTACCAAGTTCTGCTAACTACAAATGCTGCCTCGAACTCCTAACCATGATAGATGAGCTTATTTGTCTTGGTTGAAAAAATTCCATTTTGTGGTTATCTGTGGAAATCAGCAGTTTTCAGAGTAGGAGTCTAATGCTCTTGCTTTAGGAAAAGTATCATTTTATAATGAAAAAATACAGGCCCCCCCCCAAAAGTGTCATGTTTAGAGACCTGTGTTGATTTCCTAAGGGTTCAAGTGTGTATGTGTGTGGCGGGGGGTGTAGTTAATTGACTTTGTTATGGGGGTGGCAGGGTAGGAGTGGAGGTGAAGAGGGTAAGATGTATTTTACTCTAGGTTGGCAAGGTAGGTACTCTTTGAAACCTGATTAATGGGGCAGCTGAAAAGGAAACAACGGAAATCATTCTGATTTCTGTGTTTCCATATAATTTGGTCTTTGACTCAGGGTTACACTTTGTCTTCCCCCTTCTCTTGGTTGCTTTGTTTGTTTGTTTTTTGTTTCTCTCATTTCTTAACATCGAGGATTCTTGATCATTGTAATTGAGCTTTGAATCCGAAGGCACGGATCAGATCAACAAACAAAATAAGAAATCTGCTGACAATGTCAGGGTTTGCGGGCTTTGTCACTACAGAGAGCCAAGAACATATAAATGCCATTGACTTTCTCAGAGCTTTCTCTATTTGGGAGTCCTTCTCAGTTGTTTGAGACAATTATCAGTGATCTTCCCAAAAGGTGAGCAATTCACTTCAAGTGTACCATGAGGCCACTTGAATGCTAGAAATTATTTCATTTAAAATTTTTTCAAGTAGGCGCCCATCACTCACACCATAAATTCTTCCATTTTCTATGATTAGGTAAGAAAAATTTGCAAGAAAGACTCCCTTGATACACTGTTGGACAAATTGAAATTTAAAAATTGACAATAGTTAATCTGAGGAAATTAGTTTCTCCATACCCTTTCTTCAGTTAGCAAGAATTTAAGAAAAAAAAAAAAAAAATGAAGGCTGTGCTGAGTGAGTGAATTGCAGAGCCCTGGTCCCCGAACTCCAACCTTGGGCCAAGTAATCTCTTATTCCATCTCTGCCTGGCACCCTTGTTTGTCTTTAATATACAGCCACCAGATGACCTGCAAACAGCCAGGTCTTGGGTTGATTGGCCTTAATAACCCAATCAACATTTCATGTTCAATCATGGCTGCTTAGACGTGTCACTTCTCCATTCTCGTCAGCCGTGGCTGGACAGACACCAAGTATAATGATGTCGGCAGCTAAAGCGACAACCCAGTTGGATTTTTTTTTTTTTCACTGAAATTGCTGACTTCAGCAGTCATTTTCAAATCATAGTTATTGACTCAGCCTATGTGTACATCGTTAGAGCGAGTAAGGTGATCTCATTAACTTTTACTGTTACCTGCTTATTGAGAGAAATCTCATTCTCCCCCCTAGCTGAACTACATATTAATACATGTCAAGGTTCATGTATTCAAGAAGAATGAGTGAGCAGTACAAGATTTGGTCAGCCAAATACCCCTAAGTGGTCTGGTTGGAAACTCATATACTCACGATTTGAATGATACTGACTTTGTAGATGCTCTGCTGGTTGGGTCACTCCACTCTGAAAAGTAAAGGCACAAACAGTTATGAAGTCATGTTTTCAAAAGTCAGATGAATTCATTGATATCTAAACATGTGGCCCTTCCAGCTATACTGTTTCATAGTTTCCTGCCATGGATAACACATGACCTTCCCACCCTGCCCCACCCCCCAACATAAAGGAATAAGGAGGAATTAATTGTATGTATCACAGTTTGATGTGGCTCTACAGGTTCATGTGCCCAGACTGCAAAGCTGTTTGAACTGCAAGGTCAGCAGTTCAAGTTCACCAGCTGCTCCTCAGAAACCCTATACAGGGTCGCTATGGGTCGGAACCGACTCGATGGCACTTCACAACAACAACATCCCGATTTGATGTGTTGTTGTTATTTCAATGGTATTAGATAGGAAAGTGCGAACAGGGAGGAAGAAGATGAAGTGGCTATTTGGACTAAGAAAGATTAAACCAACAACAATAAAAAGACACCACCTACTTTGTAAGGTGAATCCTGGGGTCAGATGTTGGGATTCCTATAAGAAAAGACACATACAATAGAAACATTAGTTATGTGACTCAAAGGAGAACAAAAGGTCTATCTTTGTTCTTGATTAATGTTGCAAAGAAGACACCACCGTTAGTAAATTCTTTCATTAAGCTCCTGTCTGTACTGTAACTCTACCTGACTCATCAACATTTGCTCATCAAACCTGCTGCATCATGATCCTAGCTGCCATTTTAGCAGAATTACAAGAAACACTGGTGTTTATTTGGAAGTGTGTGTAACCTGGGAACAAATGACCTGCATGTATGAAATCTGAGAGGATAATTTCTCACTTAGCGAGGCAATGGTGCCTCTAAGGAAGTCAGGGGGCCTTGGTTCTAACAAACAAGTGATGGTGGGTTTTATAAAAAGTATCAACAGATCATAATTAATAGATTTGCTCATTTGCTCTCTTTCATTGAAATAACTCGAACTTTCTACCTTATAACTGGGACACATAAAAATAGATGTACCTCATTTTGCACAAGACAAGTATTAAAACTTCAGTACACGTTTTTGAGGTTTAGATAGGAATTTTGTATTTTTTGAAGTTTTTTTTATTACGAATTGAGTGAAGGTTTACAGAACAAATCCTTAGTTTCCCATTCAACAGATCATACACTCTGTTCCATCTCAATGACTGCAATCCCCTCCATGTAACAAGTTATCTCACTTCCTCCTACAGTCCTTATTTCCATTCCATACGACTTTCCAACCCTCTGAACCGTATCCTTAGGTCACTGTTGCCCTTTTGATCTTGAACAATGGACTATTCCATGTTGAGCATTTCTCACTGGTGGTGGTGTCCCCCGATAGCAAGGAACTAGAATTATATTCAATGGTGTCCATTTTCGAAAGGGGTATAGCTTGCTGGGTGGTGAGAATAGTTGGAGCTCAACTACTAACTGAAACTTTAGAGGTCTGAATATACCAGTGGCACATGGGAGAAAATCCTGGTGATCTACTTCCATAAGATTATAACCACTGAAGAAAACCTTTAGCTGAAACATGTGCGATCACAATGAGTCCGAATGAGTTATGTTTTTTTTTAATTGACTTGAAGGTCTTCCCACAGAGAACTCATTCACTCTTTGGATTTGCATGCAGCACAGGTTCCCTGGGACTGAGGCACACCTGTGGGTAAACTGAGCAAACTTGCAGGCAATAGCACTTCAGTGCTCTATACAGCACACAACGCACAGTGTGCTGGAAGAGCCAGTTAGTGTTGATTACAAAGCAAGGCAATCTCAAACTGAGGCCAAGGAGACAAGAATTAGTTTTATCAATCACTACTGCAAGGAATCTCCTCATTAAACCTAATCTTGCCACCCTGTAGAGTGAAAACGAGTTCACAACATAATTTATGTTTAAAAGAACTAGTCAAGCATGCTAACGATGTGCTTTAATTGAAAGCGAACTTTTCAATCTGTTTAGCATGATTCTGTGGTCCAAGAGATTTGTCTTCTGGCAAGCTCAGCTCTCCAGAAGACCACCATAAACTCAGCAGGGGGTTAAGCCTCTTAACTAAAGAGCTATCACAAAGCCCATGCAGTGTGCAGCTCAAAGGCTTCCTTCCTACTCAGAGAATTAACTTTGGACAAAGGATTATCACAGGCTTGACCATTTGATTTCTACCTTGAAGCCTATCACAAATGGCCCAGCCACTAGGAACATTGAGGTGGGGAAGCCAACAGAAAACATGACTCAAATTCGGAACTTGAAAAACACAAGAGTCTGTGGTCATTTATTATAAAAGGAAGGATTCCTGCACATCTTGCTAGCTTATCAAGTAATCTTGAAGCATGTTCAGTATGATCTCCGTAAGAAGTCTGGAATACATTTTCATTCAGTATCAAAACACTTTCTATGACATTATTCACATGGAAGGATAACTTTCAGTCGTCCAAAAATATCAATAATTCAGAATTCACTTCCAAAACTGAGGTGCGAATCATTGGTATCTACTTTAATTTATGACAATAGTTCTTCCTTCCTTTCTTTTTCTTTTCTTTATTTCTTTTTTTTTTTTTAAGGGATTTCATTACAAATGTGTAGTACAAGTTTGAGCAAGTATACCCTTAGGAAATCAAATTAGAACTTCCAAATATCTGATCACAGGGTGAAAAAAATGATTGGTAAACTTTTGTTCTGTTGTGGAAGTCAGGACTTTTTTTTAATACTTTAATACTTCATGCAAGTATTCTGGACTTTAGAGTCAGCCATTCCCTTGCTTCAGGGCAGCAGGATGCAACATATGGTGCAAACTGCAAGGTTTTGTTAGTCACTGAATTCCAATCATTGGTGGTGTATATTCTTGATGTAGTTTTTTTACTGATAAACAGTTTTTAATGCTAAAAAATGACTACATCAACAACAAAAAAACTCCACCAGAAATCCAAACACTTGACTAAGTGTGAATATCACCAAAGCTGCTTTCCACATACAAGAAATCATACTGGGAAATATTTGGTCATAACCTATAAATCTGTGTTAAAAAACAAACAAACAAACAACTCTTCATGTGTACACAATATAATACATATTTTAAATATCTGATTGATCTAGGCATGTTGTTGTTGTTTTCAGGTGCCATCAAGTCGGAACCAACTCATAGCAACCCCATGCACGGCAGAACGAAACAATGTCCAATCCTGGGCCAACCTCACTACCACCGCCACACTTGAGTCCATCAATGATGCCACCTGGCCAATCCATCTCGTTGGGGGTCTTCCTCTTTTTCTCTGATCCTCCATCTTACCCAGCATGATATCCTTCTCCAGCCACTGTTCTCTCCGGACAATGTGTCCAAAGTATGAGAGACGAAGCTTAGCCATCCTGGCCTCCAAGGAGCACTCTAGCTGCACTTCTTCCAAAACAGATCTATTGGTTCTTTTGGAGCTCTGGTAGCGTAGTGGTTACGAATTGGGCTGTGAACCTTAAGGTTAGCGGTTTGAAACTACCAGCCGCTCCATGGGAGAAAGATGAGGCTTTCTACGACCGTAAAGATTTACACCCTCGGGAACCCTGTACAGGGTTGCTATGGGTCGGAACCGACTCAATGGCACTTAACAACAACAACAGCAGGATCTAGGCATACTTTCATAGATATGCCAACATGCAATTTTAGTAGTAGAATATCCTGATGTCAAATTGATTTTCAAAACTTAAGTGAGGCTTTTAAATATTTGCTGTGATAACAATCCTACAATAATAGGATCTAGAAGGAGTTCTGGTGGTGCTAACAGTTTGAAGCTCAACCATGAGGCTGTACCAGTCCACCCAGAAGTGCTTCGAAGAAGAAAAGGTCTCAAAATCTACTTTCAAAAGCCCAAAGCCGTGAAAACCCAGTGTGCTACTCAAAACACAGATGGGGTCACAATGATAGATCTACTTGATGGCAATTGGCTCTTTTGTTGTTTGTTTGCTTTGTTTTGTTTATAGGACCTAGATCCTACAGCAGATTCATAAACCTTTCCTGTAAAGAAGCACATAGTAAAAATGTTCAGGTCTCTGGCCATGTGGTGTCTGTCACAACTACTCAGGTTGGCTGCTGTAGCATAAAAACAGCCGTAGACAGTAACCAAAGGAACGTGAGTGATTGTGTGCAAGTAAAACTTGAGTCATAGACATGGAGATTTGAATTTCATATAATTTTCATGAAATGAAAACTATCAAGAAAAACTATATTTTCTTCTGATTGTTTTAATTTGGGTGAGGGTTTACAGAGCACATTAGTTACCCATTCAACAATCTGACACATTTGGTTTTGAGACTTTAGTGACAATCCCCTGGGTGTTACAGCACCCTTTCTAGTCCCTCCCTCCCTGAGTTCCCTGTTTCTATTTCCTCATCTTTCCTGTTCCTGACTTCTGACCTTTGTTTTGGGCAAATACTGTTTTTTTGGTCTCATATGGTTGGTTATTCTGAAGAGTGCATTCCTCATGAGTGTTATTCACTTTATAGTCCTGTTTGGCTAAAAGGTTATCCCTAGGGGTGGGTTCAGTTCCAAGCTTAAAGGCTATCTATCCATGGGTCATAGTTGTTTGTTGTTTTTTTTTTGGGGGGGTGAGGTGAGGTGGAGTGGAGTGTGTGGGGGTGTGTGGTTCCAACAGTCTCTATCTGACCAGTAAGTATGGTCTTTATTATTTTGAATTTTACTCCACTTTTTTTTTCTCTCTGTCTCTGTCCAGGATCTTCTATTGTGATCTTGCTCAGAGCAATCAGTAGTGTTAGCATTGTACCACCTAGATCTTCTGGTCTCAGGCTAGTGGAAGGTATGGTTCCTATAATACACTGGTCCTTTGGATTCATTGCTTCCATGCGTCTTCTATTTTATTCACTCTTCTCAGGACAAGGAAAAACCAACGGTTGCACCTTAGATAGCAGCTCACAACTTTTTAAGACACCAGTCAATACTCATCCAATTGACCTTGGTGTGGCTGATTTAGTACCAGAAGATGAACTCCTCAGGTTGGGAAACACTCAAAAGGTGACTGGGTTAAGATCTGCCTCATGAAAGTAGAGTTCACCTTAATAAAATGAATGAAATAAAGCTTTTAAGACCTTTATATGCTGATTGAGCACAACTCAAAATGGGGGGAAAAAAAACAACAACAGCTGCAAGCATTCATCAATAATTGAAATGTGGAATGTATAAAGTATAAATCTAGGAAAATTGGAAGTCATGAAAAATGAAATATATAAAGACTGATACCCTAGGCATTAGTGAACTAAGACATGCCTGACCCAAGCCATTGTATTTTCAATAGCTTCATATGTATGTGAAAGTTGGACAATGAATAAGGAAGATCATAGAATTGATACACTTGAGTTATGGTGTTGGAATAGACTATTAAAAGTAAAACAACAAATAAATCTGTTTTGGAAGAAGTACATCTAAAATCCTCCTTTGAAGCCAGGATGTTGAGACTTCATCTCTCATACATCGAACATGTTATCAAGAGGGACCAGTACCTGGAGAAGGTTATC